GCTTGAGGAAGTGAAATGTTTTGGGCCCGTGAGCATCAGGTCTGATTATAGATTCATGGTCCAGACCAACTGTTCCAGATGCATCATGGGAGGAAGACTCATGATGTCATTTCCTGTTTGTGGTGAGTGAAGAAGACGAGGGACGAAGCTCGACCGGCGACAAAACGAACCCCGAGTCACGAATGACAAAAAGAACCAGAACTGATTTAACGAGGCTCTGACAGTTTCTCTGAAGCATCAAGTCGAGACCAGCACCTGATACTGCAGGTCCACCAGGTCCACCAGGTCGACCTTTGGGCACCAGGTCACCGGGCCTGTCACCCCCCAGGTAAAGGGTGTGACGGGGGTTGGGGTCAGGTCTGGACTCTGCCCCACGGTCGTCAGTCCACAGTGAGTCTGAGCTCCTCGGGTCTGAGGCTTTTAGGCGAGTTTGACAAACTGTGTCTGTCAGAGGCCGAAGGGACAAGGACCTGCCCACACTGCCCACACTGTCCACACTGCCCACACTGCCCACACCGTCCCACACCGCCCACACCGCCCACACCGCCCACACCGCCCACACCGTCCACACCGCCCACACCGCCACACACCGCACCGCCACACCGCCCACACCGCCCACACCGCCCACACCGCCCAAACACCGCCCACACCGCCCACACCGCCCACACCGCCCACACCGCCCACACTGCCCACGTAGGGGGCAATGGGACAGACGGGTTCTGGGGGAGGTCGGTGGTTGAACCGGTCCTGAACAGGAGTCTTGGATAAACGTCAGTGGGACCAGGTTTGGTCGGTTTGAGGTGAAACAAATAAACTGTGATTCTGTGAGTCCAGAAGAACTGAGATGAACAAAGAGTCAAACCAACAGAGTCAAAGAACCTGATCTTACACCAGACCAGTGTTGATTAAGTCCTGGTTTAGTTCTGGTCCTGGTCCTGGTCCTGGTCTGGTCCTGGTCTAGTCCTGGTCTGTACCTTGATGTTCCTGGCTCTGCTGATGAGGCCGTCGTGCTCTGAGGTCCCCAGGAGGAGGTCCACCTGGTGTAGACCTCGGTTCAGATCCTGGTTGGGTTTCAGGACCGGACCCCAGGCTCTCAGGGGTCCGGTTCGGGCCAAGATCCGGGTCTGAGCCTCGTTGAGTCTCTGCAGGTCCACTTCCTGAAGGCAGCGTGTCACATGACCCAGATCTGTGATGTCACCGCTGATGTCACAGCCCAGGTCCCTCGCCAGGTCAAAGGTCAAACTCCGGGACTCAGACTCGGACCGAACCAGGACCGGAGAGAAGACCGAGCCCCCCTGAGACACAAGACCGGGTTTAGTCCTGACGCACAAGACCGGGTTTAGTCCTGGTCTGGACCTACAGACTCTACAGAACTGCAAATATTTACTGTAATAGTGTTTGTAGTAGAAATAGAAGTAAAAGTAGTGGTACTAATAGCAGTAGAAGTAGTAGTAGTAGTAGTAGTAGTAGTAGTAGTAGTAGTAGTAGTAGTAGTAGTAGTAGTAGTAGTAGTAGTAGTAGTAGTAGTAGTAGTAGTAGAAGTAGTAGTAGTAGTAGTAGTAGTAGTAGTAGTAGTAGTAGTAGTAGTAGTAGTAGTAGTAGTAGTAGTAGTAGTAGTAGTAGTAGTAGTAGTAGTAGTAGTAGTAGTAGTAGTAGTAGTAGTAGTAGTAGTAGTAGTAGTAGTAGTAGTAGTAGTAGTAGTAGTAGTAGTAGTAGTAGTAGTAGTAGTAGTAGTAGTAGTAGTAGTAGTAGTAGTAGTAGTAGTAGTAGTAGTAGTAGTAGTAGTAGTAGTAGTAGTAGTAGTAGTAGTAGTAGTAGTAGTAGTAGTAGTAGTAGTAGTAGTAGTAGTAGTAGTAGTAGTAGTAGTAGTAGTAGTAGTAGTAGTAGTAGTAGTAGTAGTAGTAGTAGTAGTAGTAGTAGTAGTAGTAGTAGTATAGTAGTAGTAGTAGTAGTAGTAGTAGTAGTAGTAGTAGTAGTAGTAGTAGTAGTAGTAGTAGTAGTAGTAGTAGTAGTAGTAGTAGTAGTAGTAGTAGTAGTAGTAGTAGTAGTAGTAGTAGTAGTAGTAGTAGTAGTAGTAGTAGTAGTAGTAGTAGTAGTAGTAGTAGTAGTAGTAGTAGTAGTAGTAGTAGTAGTAGTAGTAGTAGTAGTAGTAGTAGTAGTAGTAGTAGTAGTAGTAGTAGAAGTAGAAGTAGTAGTTGTAGTAGTAGTAGTAGTAGTAGTAGTAGTAGTAGTAGTAGTAGTAGTACTTGTACCATGAGTATGAGTCTTTGGAACAGCGCTGGTCCAGGTGTGGACAGGTGCACACTGAGCAGGTCCGCCCCCTGACGCTCCGCCCCCGCCGTCACTCTGTCCTTAGCCCCGCCCACCAGGTGAATGTGGGCGGAGACCCAGTGAAGCACCGCCTCCTGATCTGAGAGGCCGGCGTCCCCCAAACCGAAGCCCAGAACGGAGCTCCGATATCCAGCCGTGACCACCACCAGGTCCCCCTGAGCCGCCAGCAGAGACCCGTCCAACACACCTGAGGGATCATAAAGTACTATTACTGTAGTACTGTAATACTACTGTAGTACTTATACCAGGGAGACTTGAGAGACATGACTGTAGTACTACTGTAACAGGGGTCAGTCATGGTCCAGTCGTGGTTATAGTCCTGGTTGTGGTCCGGGTCCAGTCCTTTTATAGTCCCGGTTCTAACCTGTGTGGTGGTTGTAGAAGAAGACGAGTGTGGGCGTGGTTCTGACCTGTGTGGTGGTTGTAGAAGAAGACGAGTGTGGGCGTGGTTCTGACCTGTGTGGTGGTTGTAGAAGAAGACGAGTGTGGGCGTGGTCCTGAACTGTGTGGTGGTTGTAGAAGAAGACGAGTGTGGGCGTGGTCCTGACCTGTGTGGTGGTTGTAGAAGAAGACGAGTGTGGGCGTGGTGCTGAACTGTGTGGTGGTTGTAGAAGAAGACGAGTGTGGGCGTGGTCCTGACTGTGTGGTGGTTGTAGAAGAAGACGAGTGTGGGCGTGGTCCTGACCTGTGTGGTGGTTGTAGAAGAAGACGAGTGTGGGCGTGGTCCTGACCTGTGTGGTGGTTGTAGAAGAAGACGAGTGTGGGCGTGGTCCTGACCTGTGTGGTGGTTGTAGAAGAAGACGAGTGTGGGCGCGGGCGTCTTGTTTCGTGTTTTCGGCGTAAACACGTTGAGGTAGAGACAGTCCTCGCTCGCCCCGGCGCTCTCTCTCTGCCCGGGCTCGGGGCAGGGGGGGCGGGGCTCCGTCACCTCCAGCTCTCCCGTCCAGTCGGGAGGGAGGGCGGGGCCGAAGCGCAGCGGGCCAACGGGGGGGCGGGCGAACGGGACCCCGAGGAACTGAACCACGGGGCGAGTCCGACCCCGACCCGAGACCACGTCCACGGTTCGACCACGGAGAGTCCGAGATCCAGGAAGGACCAAGACCTCGGACTGGACCTGACGATCTGACGCACAACACACAGTTACACACAACACACACAACGTACATACACACATACACACAACACACACACACACAACATACATACACACATACACACACAGTTACACACACACATAAACTCTGTGTGTGTGGGGCCGTGTGTGTGGGTGGGGCTCACCTGTGCGCACGTACACCTGGGGGGCGGGCTCTCGGATGGTCAGCTGACAGGAGGGGGCGGGGCCACAGACTCTGGTGTCCGGATACAGAAGACAACGAGACCCAGAGTCCGAGTCCGAGACCGAGACCGAGAAACAGGACTCGGACTCCTGACAGGCTGAGGATCAGACCAGAGACCGGGTTTAGACCAAAGACCAGGTTTAGACCAGACACCAGACCAGAGACCAAAGACCAGAAACCAGAGAACGACTGGGGTAAGTTCAAAGAAGGCCCAGAGTCCGGGTCTGGGTCTGGACCTGGGTCTGGGTCTGGACTGAACTCACCGTGGAGGCACCAGTCCAGCGCCCTCTCTCGGTCGGCGCTGTCTCGGCTCAGGACGATGACGTCGTAGGTGGAGAGGGCGGGGTCTACCAGGAGGTGGGCGGAGCCAGAGATGGGACTCCAAAGATCCCGGTCCGGACTGGTCCTGGACTGAGGCAGGCTGAAGTCCGGACAAAGACCAGGACTAGAACTCCACTGGTGGACGGGCTTCATGTACCAACCCAGAGGCTCCGGGGACGTCCTGAGCTCTGAGGGACTAACGAGGCCAAGGTCAGACCTGGTTTAGTCCTGGTTTAGTCCTGGTTTAGTCCTGGTTTAGTCCTGGTTTAGTCCTGGTTTGGTCCTGGTTTAGTCCTGGTTTAGTCGTGGTTTGGTCCTGGTTTAGTCCTGGTTTACCTGCAGTCCTGGGTGGTCCACTTGGTCTGGTTTTCGGGGCAGGTCTGGACTCCGAGGCTGATGAGGGACACACAGACGAGTCCGGGCTCAGATCCTGGTTTAGATCCGGACTTTGGGTCTCGGATCAGACCGAAGCCTCTGCAGCAGTGATCCTCGTCACAGCGACGCTCGCAGGACCGGAACCTGGAGGTCACAGGTCAGAGGGTCAGACCTGGTCCAGACCCGGTTTAGACCTGGTTCAGACCTGGACTTACCCCTGGGACAGAGGAGTGGACTCTGGGAGCGGGACCCTGGACCGGACCGAGTAGGAGACCATCTTCTTGAAGGGAACTCTCTGATAAAAACTCCTCACGGGTCCAGACAGGTCGACTGGAAAAGACCCACAGAGTCCTGGTTTAGACCTGACCCAGACCTCGTTTAGTCCAGACAGACCTGACACACACAGAGGGACCTGACACACACGGGAGGGGCCTGACACACACGAGGAGGGACCTGACACACACGAGGAGGGACCTGACACACACGGGAGGGACCTGACACACACGAGGAGGGACCTGACACACATGAGGAGGGACCTGACACACACGGGAGGGACCTGACACACACGAGGAGGGACCTGACACACACAGAGGGCACCTGACACACAGAGGGCACCTGACACATACAGAGGGCACCTGACACACACAGAGGGACCTGACACACACAGAGGGACCTGACACACACAGAGGGCACCTGACACACACAGAGGGCACCTGACACACACAGAGGGCACCTGCACAGAGGGCACCTGACACACAGAGGGCACCTGACACACACAGAGGGCGCCTGTCACCCGGGCGGGGAGGCGCCTGTCGTACCGGTCTTGACGTAGGTGTTGTTGGGCGCTCGGGGCAGCAGGGGGCGGCACTGGCGCCGCAGCGGCTCGTCGTAGGCGCCGCAGACTCCAGTGTCCGGAAACAACTCACAGAAGAAGAAGTCAGAGTGAAGATCCAACATGTCCGCCACCGAGCACAGTTTCTCCAAAACACACTCTGAAACAAGAAACAGAACCAGGACTAAACCAGGACTAAACCAGGACTAAACCAGGACTAAACCAGGACTAAACCAGGACTAGACCAGGACTAAACCAGGACTAAACCAGGACTAAACCAGGACTAAACCAGGACTAGACCAGGACTAGACCAGGACTAAACCAGGACTAAACCAGGACTAAACCAGGACTAAACCAGGACTAGACCAGGACTAAACCAGGACTAAACCAGGACTAAACCAGGACTAAACCAGGACTAAACCAGGACTAAAACCAGGACTAAACCAGGACTAGACCAGGACTAAAACAGGACTAAACCAGGACTAAACCAGAACTGGACTGGGTCTAGCTCAGGCCTCACGCTGCAGACAGGCGAGCAGTGCATTCTGGGAGTTGTAGTTCTTCTTGTTGAACCAGAAGGTGAGTCTGGGCTGTTTCTTCTGAGGCTTCACCTCCACCTGCTCCACGGACAGAGACCGGAACGAGTCCAGGACCGACGGGTCTACGGGAGGACCGGACCCAAGACCGGACCCAAGACCGGACCCGGGACCGGACTGAAGACCCGGGCAGGATCCCACAGAGTCCGGCTTCGGCTCTGGACAAAAACCAAAAACACAAACCAGTCACAAGATGGAGCCACCGTCACTACGGCAACAGCCTCTATGAGTCTCCAGATCAGGGGTCTCAGACTCGCGGCCCGGGGGCCGCACTGACAGATGAAGCTGCAGTCGGTGCCAGTGCAGATTCACAACAGATTATTAACGCAGTTTACATCCCAAAACTCAATTTACAGCAGTTGTGAAGCAACGAGTCTAAGTGAATCTGTTAATACACGTACACGTGCACGTACGGCGTCACCGAAGAACCAAAACAAACCACACGTGGTGGTACACGTGCGCACTTCACTTTACGCTCCCACAACCACAGTATCAGAGCAGAGGAGGCGCTGACAGAATCCCCCTGTTCATAAGTGTGGGACCTTTATTGGAGGAGGTAATAAGAAATAAAAAGACATTGACAGTCTGTTTACCTGTTCAACACTCGGTGCGTAACTTGCTGGCAACTCGATGACCAAACTCCACCTGTGCGTCGCCGAAATCCACGCGCACTCAGCGGCAAACACAGCTGTCCCATCAATATGCAACAACACACAAAACTGCACTGATCTATTCCAGAGGCTTGGAGACATGTCAGCAAAAAGTACGAGGCAAAAACAAGCGTCTTCCGTCCGTGTTTGACATACGAGAAGCAGATACACTCCAGTGTGGCGCTTTCACACCGGCAAACGAACCAAAACTGGTCCGATTAACGAGCCTCTGTATCCCGGTAGAACAGCGATATCTCCAGTAACTAATACTGATGTTCCCTGTTAATACCAGGAGCCGTCCTCATCTCATCACCATGAACTCATAAAACAGCAACATGTAGAACTTTCTACAAACTCACCGCATCAGTTCTGAGTTCAGGTAACAGCAGAAGCCAACAGCTCCTCAGGACGGGGCTGGGTCTGGTCCTTGGTTTTCTGTCGTCCTACAAGCGCGTTGGTCAGATGGTCCGGAGGCTCCATCCTCCATGTGCTGGTTCCAGACGGTGGCGAGAAAGACCAGTGCGCAATGACTGGGTCTGAGCGGGAACGTTCCGCCGTCTGCGCGCTGGTTCCGTGTTCCGTGCGGGGAAAGTGAGAATGTTCTGTGGACTACACCTACAGGTCTGTGCTGCTCCTGTCCTCCGCGCTCAAGAACCGCGGCTGGTTCCGAGGTGGAGCAAAGCATCCGGACAGAACGTGAATCCAGTTTAGTTGGTGTCCGTCCTCCGCGCATTTGGTTCTTCCCGGGAAAAGCGCTTTTCACTCCCCGCTCCACGTCATCTGAGCCCGGACAGAACCGGAGCTGCTCCCGCTGGTTCGGGACTCGGGTTTGGATCGAGTCCGACTGTATTTCTCACACGAGGCTAAAAGCAGGACATTTTTTGAAGGTGAATCAATTGAATGGGCGATTGCCTATTGCCATAAAATTATTTGGTTAATTAAAGCCGAAAATAACAAATGCTGGTTCCTACATGATCACGGGGAACACCGGGTCATCTCTGTGCAGGTCCTGAACAGAAGTACACACCTCCATTTTTGAGTCACTCTGGAGCCACACGTTGGTTCTTGCTCTGATCTTCGTGTGTTTCATTCTCTGTTTTGGTCATTGTTGGTAAAATATTTCGAAAATGAATCGCGTCTGCGTCTGGAAACAACCTGTTACTGCGCTGGATTCGTACAGCGTCACTTCAGGCAGGAGACGCGTTTCTCCCATGATGCATCTAGAATAGTTCCTTTGGACCTGCTGTCTGTGGTTTGGACCCGGGTTCGCGTTCACACCAGAAGAACCGCACCAAATGACCAACTTTGGTGCGGATTCAAGCGAACCGAGACCAGCTCTTTTTTTAGGTCTCGGTCCACTTGAGTTGGTTCGGGTCAGAGTCCGATTGACGCTTTCACACCAACGCAAACGACCTGAACTAACCACTTCTGGTTCGAATGGACCGTTTGGTGCAACAAATACTGTCGGTGTGAAAGCACCTAATACAGGTCAAAGGTCACTGATGAGCATCTTCAATCTATCCTGAGGATCTGCTTCCTCCTGCAAGTCAAACATCTCAGCTGTACAAGATGAAGTGTAACCAGGTTTCAACCAGCAAGAAGTAGGTAAAAGAAGAAGAGTAGATGTATCAGTTTAAACTTACGATCTGAATACATTTTCATGTTCTGAACTGTTATTAAAGATTAAGAAAGTGTGTTGCGTGTTGTTCTTTCTCTCTCCTTTATTCCCGTGCAGCCGCTTTTTATCGATACTCAATGCGGCCCAGCCTCACTCAGACTTTATCTAATGTGGCCCCCAGGTCATTTGAGTTTGAGACTCCTGGTCTAGATGATTTAAAACTCATTTGCCACGTTCACATGTGAACGACGAGTATAAAGGTCAGAGAAAAAAAAATTAAAAAGATGCTGGCGCTACGAGAATAAAGTCGTAACATTTCAACATTAAAGTCGTAAATTTACGAGAATAAAGTTGTGTCAAAATAAAGTGTTAATATCAGGAGAATCTCTGCGGCTCGTGGAGAATCTGGAGCATTTTGTAAAGGAGAAGAATCTGTGTATCATTCGTTCATTCGACTGAATCAGGACTAAACCAGGTCCGGAACCAAACCAGAAAGACCAGGATTGAGACCGGAACCAGACCAGGACTGAGGTCGGGACCAGACCAGGACTGAAAACGGTTTAGTCCTGGTTTAGTCCTGGTTTAGTCCTGGTTTAAGTCACGGAAATGGGAAATGGCGTTTCCGTGACTTTAAAATGTGATGCGGGACTGAACCAGGACTAAACCATTTTCAATCCTGGTCTCAGTCCCGGTCTGGTCTTGGACCTCATTTACTCCTGGTTTAGTCCTGGTTTAGTCCTGGTTTAGTCCTGGTTTAGTCCTGGTTTAGTCCAGAGGCACAAATAATGAAGAAAATTGTGGTTCTTTTTCTTATTTTTGGTTTTATATTGAAAAACAAGTTTCTTCTTCTGTCTCATTTTTCACTTTGACTTTGATTTTATTATAACTTTATTCTCATAATAAATCTCAGGGTTTAAAAGTTCACGGTTCATGTTTTCACACTGAACGACTTCGACAGTGAAACCCTCACGAGAGGCGACTGGATTTTGAAAAGGTTTGATTGTTTTTTTCGACTTCTGATTTCTGATCTGGAGTCGGTCGTGAGGGACTAACTGGTTCTCGTTTCCCCAAGTTACTAAAAAACTCGTCCTGATCCTGAAAACAGTCGCACGAGTGGAAAATCGTCTCAGAAAAGTCAAACATTTGCTCAGAGTCGCCGACTTTAAGTGTGACGAGACGATTCTCCAGCCGCTGCACAACAGTTATCATCAAGTCTGGACGGTGTTTGTGTCTGTGGAGGAACCACAAACCAGACGACAGAAAAGACGTGTGTGTGTTTAAATCTGTTGGTGTTTCTGTCCAATCAGAACCTTCCCCCAGACGCTCACACACATGAAATCAAAAACATTTAACAGTTTAACAGAAACAACAAGAAACATGATTATTTACATGGAAACTACAACAAGACAAGATTTGAATTCAGATTAAAAATCCTCATGTAAACGTGGACTGAGATAAATCTGGTCTAAATCAGGACTTATCAGACCTGAACTTGGTCCGGTCCGGGTCTAGACCGGGTCTAGACCGGGTCAGTACCTGTCTCGAGGTGAACGCTGCTGAAGATCACGACTGAGGCCTGGATCTGCTCAGAGGCACCTGTCAATCAAACACATTTTATTATTTATCCATGTTAATATTTACATTTTTAAATATATATATATATATTTTTTGTATCTATTTTAATATTTTTATTTTTATTTTTATATTTATTTATGTTTATATTTTTATATTTTTATTTATCTATTTTTATTTATATATATATATATATATATATATATATATATATATATATATATAAAAAATTTTACATGTTTAATTTTCCACTTTCAAAATAAAAAGGTCACATGACCCGATCTCAAAAGGAGCGAACCCCAGGACTAAACCAAGACTAAACCAGGACTAAACCAGGACTAAACCAGGACTAAACCAGGACTAAACCAGGTCTAAACCAGGTCTAAACCAGGACTAAACCAGGACTAAACCAGGACTAAACCAGGTCTAAACCAGGTCTAAACCAGGACTAAACCAGGACTAAACCAGGTCTAAACCAGGTCTAAACCAGGACTAAACCAGGTCTAAACCAGGTCTAAACCAGGACTAAACCAGGACTAAACCAGGTCTAAACCAGGTCTAAACCAGGACTAAACCAGGAAACCAGGTCTAAACCAGGACTAAACCAGGACTAAACCAGGTCTAAACCAGGTCTAAACCAGGACTAAACCAGGACTAAACCAGGTCTAAACCAGGTCTAAACCAGGACTAAACCAGGACTAAACCAGGACTAAACCAGGTCTAAACCAGGACTAAACCAGGTCTAAACCAGGACTAAACCAGACTAAACCAGGACTAAACCAGGACTAAACCAGGTCTAAACCAGGACTAAACCAGGTCTAAACCAGGACTAAAACCAGGACTAAACCAGGACTAAACCAGGTCCAGGACTAAACCAGGACTAAACCAGACTAAACCAGGACTAAACCAGGTCTAAACCAGGACTAAACCAGGTCTAAACCAGGTCTGCATCATGGTCTTTGTAGTTCTTTGTAGTTCTTACTGTAGATGAACTCGTGACCTCCGAGGTCAAACAGGAAGTCGTCTCGTTTCTCGTCGGACTTAAGTCCCGCCCCACAGTCTCGGCTGGCGGCTCCTCGGCCAATCACGTCCCAGTCCTGCTCGGCGCACATCAGCACGGACGGCGCCCGGAGAAACCCGCACATGATGGACCCTGAGACAGAAACCGGGTCAGAACCGGGTCGGGACCGGGTCGGGACCGGGTTGTGGTGGTTGTGTGTGACCTGAGGTGGTTGTGTGTGACCTGAGGTGGTTGTGTGTGACCTGAGTGGCTCTGGTCGGACCTGAGTTGAGGCGGTTGTGGTTCAGGGCGTATCCGTGGCAACAGGCGTCTCTTCTGCACGCGCTCAGACAGAATCGCTCCACGTCGGATCGAGCGCTCTGATTGGCTGAGAACACCAGGGTCCGGTAAACGCCTGACTCCGCCCTCTTCAGGGTCACCAGGTCAGAGGTCGAGTACTCCGACTTGGACCCGGATGCGTACCGGTCTCCTGCAAAGGTCAAAGGTCACAGGTCACAGGTCAGACGGAGCAGGACTGAGTCTGACACAAACAAACAAACAAACATCTTCTTCTTCTTCTTCTCTGGGGTCGAGTCTCGGAGCATCAGTCTGAACAGAGACTCTCAGACTTCCCTCACCCCAGACACTTCTCTCCACGTGGAGGAGCAGCGGCTCTGCTCCGAGCTCCTCACTCTGTCTCTAAGGGAGACGCCTGATGGACAGTTGGTCCAGTGTCCACGACCAGGACCAAAACCACACTGCTCCTCCTGGACCTGAGGTTCAAGTATCGGTCACATTCTCCTCTCCAGTCCCTGACAGAGACCGGGGAGTGTGAGGAGTGTGATTCTCCTGGAGTTGGAACACACCCTCCTCCTCCTTCTTCTACAGAGGGACCACCACCCCAGTCTGAAGGTCCAGAGGTTCTGTCCTCGACCTCCACACGACGCTGCAGAGACGAGTCAGACAAGACCCACAACATCCAGAGACTGAAGATCCTCAGGACGGATCAGAACCTCCAGAACCACGAGGAACTTTAACCTCCTCAGGGACTTCAGGGTGATGGACGAGTTCACCTCCGAGTCTCCAGTCTCGACTTCCTCCTCAGAAGACGTGATGGTGGGATTGAGGAGATCCTCAGAGTTTTCCTTCCATCGTCCGACAACGTCCCCAGTCGAGGTGAACAGTTCTCCTCCTGCACTGGAAACAGAGATGGTGAAGAACTGATCCTCCTCCTGAGGCGCCAGATGCTTTGACAGAATCTCTTTGAGTTTGTCTGATAGTTCTCCTCCATGTTCTCCTCCATGTTCTCCTCCATGTTCTCCTCCATGTTCTCCCCAAACTCCTCCCAGCTCTGAGTTTTTGTCTCTGTGACCTCACGAGCTGCAGAGCGTTTGACCCGTTGGTCCCACGAGCCAACAAGACCCGACAGGACTCCTCCTTCATCCTGACTCATCTCTTACTTCTGGTGTCCACCACCGGGTTCGGGGATCACCACCGCGACAGGAACCGCAGACCTGACGCCCACAGCTCCGAGCGGCCGCATCGACAAAAAGAACTCAGATAAAAAAGGTTTCAGAAGAAGGATTTCCTGGACGTCCAGAGGATGAAACACAGTCGATCCAACTCAGTGTTTGTCTTTGAGAAGGAAACTCAGTACAAAGATACAAAACCCCAAGTCACTCACTGGTTCAAATAAACTGCCTTTATTAATTTTCAGCTCGTCTTATTGGACTTTCTTTTTTTTTTGTCCCTTGAGGAAAGTCACAGGCTGAAACACGTCGGGACTTTGTGAGTTTGTCCATGAAGATGTAAATGAATAAATTATTTTATTTTATTTGAAACAGTGATTTGGGTTTTTTGCATTTAAAAAAAAACCTCTGATGTTTAGGGGGCTCGAGGAGGACAGGCCCGCACCTGTCCACTGTACTCACCTGTCTTCCTGAACACCTGTTGACCTGAAGCTCCGCCCCTCACCTTCACAGAGCAGCGCAGCCAATCAAAATGCTCCGCCTCAGGATTCCCCAGAAACCCCTTGGTCTGTGGAAAAACAGACAAGAACTGAACCAGGACTGAACCAGGACTAAAGATGGACTAAAGCCGGACCAGAGCAGGTCTAGACCCGGTCCTTTGGCGGGTACCTGGGGTCCGGTGGTGCACTCGGTGTTGTCGGGGTTTGTGTCGTACACGTCACACTGTTCACCCGAAAACGACACATGAAGACACGACGAGTCCAACGCACAATCTGAACACAGACCAGACTCAGACCAGACTCAGACCAGGACTACACCAGGACTACACCAGGACTACACCAGGACTAAACCAGGACTACACCAGGACTAAACCAGATCTAAACCAGGTCCCAGTACCTCTGAGGCAGCTGGTCCGGTCTGTGGTCAGGGTCCTGAGGATTTGGGCCTCGTTTGACCCAAACTGGACCTCAGAGTCCGAGAGGAGCTGGAAGTTACTCAGAGCTGTGGAAAAATTCAGACACAATTTTCATGTGACGAGAAAAACGTTTGTACGTCTGTGACCTGAAGGTGGACGACCTGAAGTCTCACGTGAAAGATCAGGTCTGTTTGGGTTTTAGGAGAACAGATCCTGAAGTGACCTGAGTGGATCTGTGTGGTTCATTCAAAAATCTGATCTGTGTCACTTCAGGTCCGACTGAACCGAGAATTTGTCTCATCAGATTTAGAATTTTAAATCTCGCTAAATTTCTCATTTTGAAAAAACATGTTTGAATAATTTTTATTCTCAGTTTTAGCTGCTGAGATTTTAAGTGAACTTTTCAAAATGTTAAAGAAACAAAAAATGTATAAAAAAAAAACACCTATTTTCAATCCTCAAATTCAACACTCACAATTCAGAGTGTAAAATTGAGAGTGTTAAATTTAGAGTGTTAAATTCAAAGTGTTAAATTCAGAGTGTTAAATTTAGAGTGTTAAATTTAGAGTGTTAAATTTAGAGTGTTAAATTCAGAGTGTTAAATTCGAGTGTTAAATTTAGAGTGTAAAATTCAGAGTGTTAAATTCAAAGTGTTAACTTTAGAGTGTTAAATTTAGAGTGTAAAATTCAGAGTGTTAAATTCAAAGTGTTAAATTTAGAGTGTTAAATTCAGAGTGTTAAATTTAGAGTGTAAAATTCAGAGTGTTAAATTCAAAGTATTAAATTTATAGTGTTAAATTTAGAGTGTAAAATTCAGAGTGTTAAATTCAAAGTGTTAAATTTAGAGTGTTAAATTTAGAGTGTAAAATTCAGAGTGTAAAATTCAAAGTGTTAAATTGAGAGTGTTAAATTCAGAGTGTTAAATTTAGAGTGTAAAATTCAGAGTGTTAAATTCAAAGCGTTAAATTTAGAGTGTAAAATTCAGAGTGTTAAATTCAAAATGTTAAATTCAGAGTGTTAAATTTAGAGTGTAAAATTCAGAGTGTTAAATTCAAAGTGTTAAATTTAGAGTGTTAAATTTAGAGTGTAAAATTCAGAGTGTTAAATTCAAAGTGTTAAATTTAGAGTGTTAAATTCAGAGTGTTAAATTCAAAGTGTTAAATTTAGAGTGTTAAATTTAGAGTGTAAAATTCAGAGTGTTAAATTCAAAGTGTTAAATTTAGAGTGTTAAATTCAGAGTGTAAAATTGAGAGTGTTAAATTTAGAGTGTTAAATTCAAAGTGTTAAATTCAGAGTGTTGAATTTAGAGTGTTAAATTCAGAGTGTTAAATTTTGAGTGTTAAATTTAGAGTGTTAAATTTAGAGTGTTAAATTTAGAGTGTAAAATTCAGAGTGTTAAATTCAAAGTGTTAAATTGAGAGTGTTAAATTCAGAGTGTTAAATTTAGAGTGTTAAATTCAAAGTGTTAAATTCAGAGTGTTAAATTCAGAGTGTTAAATTCAGAGTGTTAAATTTAGAGCGTAAAAATCAGGACATGTTGCAGTGACGTGATCTGATTGGTCGGCTCGAGTGTCGTACCTGTGCACTCTTTGTCGCTCAGAGGCGTCTCACTGTCGGTCCACTTAAGCCACGCCCCTTCTTTAGTGACACACCCCCAGATTCCAGCCAGGAGGTCATTCTGCGCCGGCAGGAAGTCACCTGACTCCGAGCACCGCCCCTTTCGCCGCTGACACTCCGACTCACCTGGAACAGAACCAGAACTAAACCAGGACTAAACCAGAACTAAACCAGGACTAAACCAGAACTAAACCAGGACTAAACCAGAACTCAATCAGGACTAAACCAGAACTCAACCAGGACTAAACCAGGACTCAACCGGGACTGAACCAGGACTAAACCAGAACTCAACTGGGTCTAAACCAGAACTGAACCGGGACTGAACCAGGACTAAAAACCAGGACTAAACCAGGACTAAACCAGAACTCAACCAGGACTAAACCAGAACTGAACCAGGACTGAACCAGGACTAAAAACCAGGACTAAACCAGAACTCAACCAGGACTAAACCAGGACTGAACCAGGACTGAACCAGAACTAAACCAGGACTAACCCAGGTGTGAGGTGTGACAGAGCATCAGGTTCTTCAAACCAGGACTGAACCAGGACTCACATTGACGGACAGACGATGCTCCAATCACAGAGGAGCCTCGGGGACATGTGACGCAGGAGTCCCGCCCCTCTTGGTCCTGATAGGTTCCTGATGGACAGAAGAGACACGCCCCCGAAGACGAGAAGGTCCCAGGAGGACAGAGGACTGAGGACGAGAAGAAAGAACCATCAGAGGACGAAGACGAGGACACAGAGATAGAAAACGGCGTCCGGACTCACGGCAGGCGTCTCCTGTCGGCGCTGAGGCCAAACCCCGCCCCACAGCCGAACGCCGGCGTCGCCACGGAGACCAGCCGCACCTCTGACATCATCTGTGACGTCATCAGGTCTCCCAGAATCCCCCGAACCCCGTCCACGAAGAGAGTCCGGTTCAGGAACACACCTGGAAAACACCTGGATCAGACCAAACCGGGACTGAACCAGGACTAAACCAGGACTAACCCAGGACTAAACCAGGTCTAAACCAGGACTAAACCAGGTCAAAACCAGGACTAACCCAGGACTAAACCAGGACTAAACCAGGACTAAACCAGGACTAAACCAGGACTGAACCAGGACTAAACCAGGACTAAACCAGGACTGGACCAGGACTAAACCAGGACTAAACCAGGACTAAACCAGGTCTAAACCAGGACTGAACCAGGACTAAACCAGGACTAAACCAGGACTGGACCAGGACCAGGACTAAACCAGGACTAAACCAGGACTAAACCAGGACTAAACCAGGACTGGACCAGGTGTGTTGAGCTGTGTTCAGACGGGGCTTTCAGGGCGTCCTGTGTTTTGTGCGTTCAGTTGGACGTTGAAAATGTTTCACGTCCTGATCCGGAGAAACAGGTCGACCTGGAGTCACAGAGCAGAGGATCTGCCTCAGGTCGGTGTTTCCTGGACCTGGAGCTTTGAGCTGTTTGTTTGTCTGAAGGTCTGGACCAGGATGCAGAGGAAACGCTCCTGTGAAACTGAAGAACCATCAAATATCTGACACGTTTAGTTCAAGCGGCGCCGGGCGGGATGAAGCTCCACAGGATGAAGCTCCACAGGATGAAGCTCCACAGGATGAAGCTCCACAGGATGAAGCTCCACAGGATGAAGCTCCACAGGATGAAGCTCCACAGGATGAAGCTCATGAAACAGAAGCTCCTCAGTTTTTGATGAGGATGAGGATGATGATGATGATGATGATGATGATGATGATGTTACTGCGACAGGAACAAAGAAAAGCACCAAAACACAAATGTTCAAGTGTCGGCGTCTGGTGTTTACCGACCGAATAAACCGACTGAAGCATCACAGACGCTGAAACGTGAGGCTCTTTGTCGCGTGTGGCTCTTACACGAGCCGTCGTGGCTCAGCCAGAACGACGTTGTTTCCGCCGGCGCCGCAGCTGGAGTCGAGCGGCTGGAGTCGGGTCGTGGTGCAGGTCGACAGGTCAGACTGGACCTGGGACAGACGGAAGTGCAGCTCAAAGTTCTGGTCGTCCAGACGGAGCTTCAGGAGAAGAACCTGACCAAACTCAGAACACCGCAGAAGCATGTCATGGACCAAGACACGCCGCTGCACCTGCCACAACCATCACCACCCGCCGCCGCCGCCGCCGCCGCCACCACCTCCTCTGATGGTTTAAGTCACAGGTGTCAAACATACGGCCTGGGGGCCAGATCCGGCCGGTCCGAGACCTTTAATCTGGTCCTCGTCTGATTTTCTACTAAAATATTTTAATGATATTTTCTATTAAAATCTTGTTAATTTTGTGTGGTGTTTATCACAGCAGCGTCTCCAGCGTCTCTGTACGTGGCCCCTCCCACCAGAGCAGCACAAATGAAGACTTGTCTCTTTCCAAACGCTCTTAAAGGACGATGGTTTTGACTGTTGACCGTGACACCCTCATCAGAAAAATGTCCAACATGAGAAAAGTGGAGCCGAGTGCAGGATTTTACAACAAAAATGGACTTATTCCTGTTTACAGACAAGTTCATGTTCAAACTTTGTGTTGAAATTGTATTTTTCTTAAAGTTTCAGGTTGTTCATAATATTATAACATTTTGTAAAAGAAAGAGTTCATCAATTAAAAAAGATTTGTGTAATAGATTTGTGTTTCTCTGCACAAATATTTGAACTTCTTGTTATTTTTGGGGTTTATATGACATGAGTTTTCTGATCCGGACACTTTGGATCAAAGTCGGTTGGACTCGACCCCCGGAACAAAATGAGTTTGACTCTCCTGGTTTATGTGATAAAAACACTAAAGTCCGTCTCAGTCTGGTCTGTCGCGCTGGGAAAAGACGAAAAAATAAAACACTTGTTTCCATGGCAACGGACGCCCTGGAGTGTTTTTGTCCCGTTGGGCGTCGGGGTTTTGAGGTTTTGGGGTTTTGGGGTTTTGGGGTTTTGGGGTTTTGGGGTTTTGGGGCGTCTGAGCTCAGACACAGCGGCTCTAGAAGAGTCCAGAGGTTTTTCTTGGGCCTCGGTCTGAACGCAGCTGAACACTGACCTGACTCACTGACCCGACTCACTGACCTGACTCACTGACCTGACTCATTGACCTGACTCACTGACCTGACTCACTGACCCGACTCACTGACCTGACTCATTGACCTGACTCACTGACCCGACTCGCTGACCCGACTCACTGACCTGACTCACTGACCTGACTCACTGACCCGACTCACTGACCTGACTCACTGACCTGACTCACTGACCCGACTCACTGACCTGACTCACTGACCTGACTCGTGACTCGGAGGACGGGAGGGCATCTGGGTTACCTGGGGCGTGGAGCTCCGGCAGGTCCTCAGGTCTCAGCTCCGACAGGTCCAGGGTCCAGGTCAAGTCCAGAGTCACAGAGTCTCCAAGACACTGAAGTCCAACAGCAGAAGCACCACAGAGAGACAAAGACCAGGGAGGACTAAACCAGGACAAACCAGGACCAAACCAGGAGGACCAAACCAGGACTAACCAGGAAACCAGGACCAAACCAGGACCAGGACTAAACCAGGACCAAACCAGGACTAAACCAGGACTAAACCAGGACTAAACCAGGACTAAACCAGGAACCAGGGAACCAGGACCAGGAAACCAGGACTAAACCAGGAACCAGGACTAAACCAGGACTAGACCAGGACTGAACCAGGACTGAACCAAGACTAAACCAGGACCGAACCAGGAACCAGGACTAAACCAGGACTAAACCACATTTGAGTAAAACTTCTTGTGTCCGTTGCGTCTCCATGGTAATCGCTGAACATTCCACCACAGACACAGATGTATGACGCCCCAGTGTGAGACTGACCTGAGCAGAGCAGAGCCCCCTGGTGGACAGAGCGCGACGCAGCAGCTCCTCCACAGAACCAGACCCAGAGCAGGACTGGACCCAAGACCAGGTCTGAGTCCAGGACCAGGTCTGGAGAGGCTGAGGGACTGAGAGAGAGACAGGGTCAGAACCGGGACTAAACCAGGACTAAACCAGGACTAGACCAGGACCGAACCAGGACCAAACCAGGACTAGACCAGGACTAAACCAGGACTAAACCAGGACTAGACCAGGACTAAACCAGGACTAGACCAGGACCGAACCAGGACTAAACCAGGACTAGACCAGGACTAAACCAGGACTAAACCAGGACTGAATCAGGACTAGACTGGGACTAAACCAGGACTACAGCAGGACTAAACCGGGACTTTGTGGGACTCACGCTGACAGGCCTGAGGTTCTGGTCTGGTCTCGGTCCAGGACTCGGTCTGGACGTCACACAGGAAGTGTTGGACAGGAAGTGCGTTTTTGTAACCGCGGGAACAGACGAGGTCACAGCGCTGGAGCCCGGCGACCGAGCGACACGAGAGACGCCCGCCGGACACGACGGGGACGGGACACGAGGACGAGACTGAGGACACATCAGGGACAAGAAGTATTTGTAGTATGTGTAGTATTTGTAGTATGTGTAGTATTTGTAGTATGTGTAGTATGTGTAGTATGTGTAGTATGTGTAGTATGTTGTAGTATGTGTAGTATTTGTAGTATGTGTAGTATGTGTAGTATTTGTAGTATTTGTAGTATTTGTAGTATTTGTAGTATGTGTAGTATGTGTAGTATTTGTAGTATGTGTAGTATTTGTAGTATGTAGTATTTGTAGTATGTGTAGTATTTGTAGTATGTGTAGTATGTGTAGTATGTGTAGTATGTGTAGTATTTGTAGTATTTGTAGTGTGTAGTATTTGTAGTATTTGTAGTATTTGTAGTATGTGTAGTATGTGTAGTATGTGTAGTATTTGTAGTATGTGTAGTAGTAGTTGTGTAGTATTGTGTAGTATTTGTAGTATGTGTAGTATGTGTAGTATTGTGTAGTATTGTGTAGTATTGTGTAGTATGTTGTAGTATTTGTAGTATTTGTAGTTGTAGTATGTGTGTAGTGTGTAGTATTTGTAGTATTTGTAGTATTTGTAGTATTTGTGTGTAGTATTGTGTATTTGTAGTAGTGTGTGTAGTATTGTGTAGTATTTGTAGTATTTGTAGTATGTGTAGTATGTGTAGTATTTGTAGTATGTGTAGTATTTGTAGTATGTGTAGTATGTGTAGTATGTGTAGTATTTGTAGTATGTGTAGTATGTGTAGTATTTGTAGTATTGTGTAGTATAGTTGTAGTATGTGTGTATTTGTAGTATGTGTAGTAGTAGTATGTGTAGTATTGTGTAGTATTTGTAGTATTTGTAGTATGTGTAGTATGTGTAGTATTTGTAGTATTTGTAGTATGTGTAGTATTTGTAGTATTGTGTAGTATTTGTAGTATTTGTAGTATGTGTAGTATTTGTAGTATGTGTAGTATTTGTAGTATTTGTAGTGTGTAGTATTGTGTAGTATTTGTAGTATGTGTAGTATGTGTAGTATTTGTAGTATTTGTAGTATTTGTAGTATGTGTAGTATTGTGTAGTATTTGTAGTATGTAGTATTGTAGTATTGTGTAGTATTGTGTAGTATTTGTAGTATGTGTAGTAGTATTTGTAGTATTTGTAGTATTGTATTTGTAGTATGTGTAGTATTGTGTAGTATTGTGTGTAGTATAGTATTTGTAGTATTGTGTAGTATTTGTAGTATTTGTAGTATATGTGTAGTATGTAGTAGTTTGTAGTATGTGTAGTATTTGTAGTATGTGTAGTATTTGTAGTATTTGTAGTATGTGTAGTATGTGTAGTATTTGTAGTATTTGTAGTATTTGTAGTATGTGTAGTATTTGTAGTATGTGTAGTATTTGTAGTATTTGTAGTATTGTGTAGTATGTGTAGTATTTGTAGTATTGTGTAGTATGTGTAGTATGTGTAGTATTTGTAGTATTTGTGTAGTATTTGTAGTATTTGTAGTATTTGTAGTATTTGTAGTATTTGTAGTATTTGTACTTCTCACCGTCACAGTCAGACTCACACTCGTTTCCAAAAACCTCCATCTGAAAACAAAAGGTCAAAGGTCACAGTCTGACCTCGGCTCAGGTCAAAGGTCACAGTCGAGTCTCACCTGGTCACACTGGGCTGGAGCTGTCAGCCAATCAGAGAGCAGCGTCTGAGCGCGTGCAGAATCACACCTGCTCTCACCTGGAGAAACACACAACACACACACACACAGACACACACACACACACAGACACACACACACACACACACACAGACACACACAGACACACACACACACACACAGACACACACACACACACACACACACACAGACACACACACACACACACACACACACAGACACACACACAGACACACACACACACACACACACACAGACACACACACACACACACACACAGACACACACAGACACACACACACACACACACACAGACACACACACACACACACACACACACACACACACACACACACAGACACACACACACAGACACACACACACACACACACACACACACACACACACACACACACAGGTGAACACACTCCTGTTGTTTCCATGGAGATGTTGCTCCTTCAGCTCTGATATTCCACAGTGCAGCTTTAAGACTCATATTTACACTGAAACATCGTCTCAGAAACCATCAGTGTCCACATCAGTGTCCACATCAGTGTCCACATCAGTGTCCACATCAGTGTCCACATCAGTGTCCACATCAGTGTCCACACTCGTCACGTCTGTGTCTCTTTTCACTCCACAAAACTGTGACACTTTAAACCCACATGATTCATTTACATAAACTAATGTGAGAAAAACAGTTGTTTCTTGTGTCTGATGTGGTTCAGTTTGTGTTGGACTCAGTGGAATATGAGTGTTCTCCCTGTGTCAGAGGGGTGTTCTCTCTGTGTCAGAGGGGTGTTCTCTCTGTGTGACAGAGGGGTGTTCTCTCTGTGACAGAGGGGTGTTCTCCTGTGACAGGGGTGTTCTCTCTGTGTCTCTGTGTGACAGAGGGGTGTTCTCTGTGTCAGAGGGTGTTTCTCTGTGTCAGAGGGGTGTTCTCTCTCTGTGTCAGAGGGGTGTTCTCTCTGTGTCAGAGGGGTGTTTCTCTTGTGTCAGAGGGGTGTTCTCTCTGTGACAGAGGGGTGTTCTCTCTGTGTGACAGAGGGGTGTTCTCTCTGTGACAGAGGGGTGTTCTCTCTGTGTGACAGAGGGGTGTTCTCTCTGTGACAGAGGGGTGTTCTCTCTGTGTCAGAGGGGTGTTCTCTCTCTGTGACAGAGGGGTGTTCTCTCTGTGTCAGAGGGGTGTTCTCTCTGTGACAGAGGGGTGTTCTCTCTGTGTCAGAGGGGTGTTCTCTCTGTGACAGAGGGGTGTTCTCCCTGTGACAGAGGGGTGTTCTCTCTGTGACAGAGGGGTGTTCTCTCTGTGTCAGAGGGGTGTTCTCTCTGTGACAGAGGGGTGTTCTCTCTGTCAGAGGGTGTTCTCTCTGTGTCAGAGGGGTGTTCTCTCTGTGTCAGAGGGGGTGTTCTCTCTGTGACAGAGGGGTGTTCTCTCTGTGACAGAGGGGGGTGTTCTCTCTGTGTGTCAGAGGGGTGTTCTCTCTGTGTGTCAGAGGGGTGTTCTCTCTGTGACAGAGGGGTGTTTCTCTCTGTGACAGAGGGGGTGTTCTCTCTGTGTGACAGAGGGGTGTTCTCTCTCTGTGTCAGAGGGGTGTTCTCTCTGTGTCAGAGGGGTGTTCTCTCTGTGACAGAGGGGTGTTTCTCTCTGTGACAGAGGGGTGTTCTCCTCTGTGACAGAGGGGGTGTTCTCTCTGTGTCAGAGGGGTGTTCTCTCTGTGTCAGAGGGTGTTCTCTCTGTGACAGAGGGGTGTTCTCTCTCTGTGTCAGAGGGGTGTTCTCCCTGTGACAGAGGGGTGTTCTCTCTGTGTCAGAGGGGTGTTTCTCTGTGAGGGTGTTCTCTCTGTGACAGAGGGGTGTCTCTCTCTGTGACAGAGGGGTGTTCTCTCTGTGTCAGAGGGGTGTTTCTCTCTGTGACAGAGGGGTGTTCTCTCTGTGACAGAGGGGTGTTCTCCCTGTGACAGAGGGGTGTTCTCTCTCTGTGACAGGGGTGTTTCTCTCTGTGACAGAGGGGTGTTCTCTCTGTGTCAGAGGGGTGTTCTCTCTGTGTCAGAGGGGTGTTCTTCTCTGTGACAGAGGGGTGTTCTCCTCTGTGACAGAGGGGTGTTCTCTCTGTGACAGAGGGGTGTTCTCTCTGTGTGTCAGAGGGGTGTTCTCTCTGTGACAGAGGGGTGTTCTCTCTGTGTGTCAGAGGGGTGTTCTCTGTGTGACAGAGGGGTGTTCTCTGTGTCAGAGGGGTGTCTCTCTGTGTCAGAGGGGTGTTTCTCTCTGTGTCAGAGGGGTGTTCTCTCTGTGTCAGAGGGTGTTCTCTCTGTGACAGAGGGGTGTTCTCTCTGTGACAGAGGGGTGTTCTCCTGTGACAGAGGGTGTTCTCTCTGTGTGTCAGAGGGGTGTTCTCTCTGTGACAGAGGGGTGTTCTCTCTGTGACAGAGGGGTGTTCTCTCTGTGTCAGAGGGGTGTTCTCTCTGTGACAGAGGGGTGTTCTCTCTGTGTGTCAGAGGGGTGTTCTCTCTGTGTCAGAGGGGTGTTCTCTCTGTGACAGAGGGGTGTTCTCTCTGTGACAGAGGGGTGTTCTCTCTCTGTGACAGAGGGGTGTTCTCTCTGTGACAGAGGGGTGTTCTCTCTGTGACAGAGGGGTGTTCTCTCTGTGACAGAGGGGTGTTCTCTCTGTGTCAGAGGGGTGTTCTCTCTGTGACAGAGGGGTGTTCTCTCTGTGACAGAGGGGTGTCTCTCTGTGTGTCAGAGGGGTGTTCTCTCTCTGTGACAGAGGGTGTTCTCTCTGTGACAGGGTGTCTGTGACAGGGGGTGTTCTCTGTGTGTCAGAGGGGTGTTCTCTCTGTGACAGAGGGGTGTTTCTCTCTGTGTCAGAGGGGTGTTCTCTCTCTGTGACAGAGGGGTGTTCTCTCTGTGACAGAGGGGTGTTCTCTCTGTGACAGAGGGGTGTTCTCTCTGTGACAGAGGGGTGTTCTGCTGGTGGTGAGTCTGTTCTGTGTTTGTGTCGTGTTGTTGGTTCGTTGTTGTGCAGGTGTTTCACACAGACACACGTTTATGTGACTGGACACATATTGTGACAGACACACATCAGAGCATCAGTGTTTTCACACAGTCCCCAGCACATCTGGATGAACATACACACTAGTGTGAACGGGGCCTTAGAAGTTTCACGTTCGTTTGTGTCGCTCTGAGTCTCCCCTCCCTTTGCTCTCTGTGCTGACTCACTCCCCCTTCAGAGCGTCACACTTCACATCAGGTTTGTCCAGGTCTGGTGTTTTGTGGGGTAAGAAAATATCGATTCAGTGACATGTCGCGATACTTCATTACACGATTCTTATATCGATTCAAAAAGTGTCAGAATCGATTTTTAAAAGTCGTGTTTTTCATGAAAACTTAATTTTACTGTTTTCATGATTTAAAATTGAAATAAACTGTTTCATTCAAGTTTGTTCTGAATGTTGCTCGACCAAAATATTCTGCAGAATTATTCAAAACATCGTCCTTTGTTTTAGTGTCCGGAAATATCAGGATGAATCGTATCGTTTCGTATCGTCAGATTCCTGGAGCTGAACCCGACAGTTTGCGTCGTGTTTTTGTTTTTATGGAGAATCATTTCTGTTCATTTCCTCACAAACAGGAAACGTCTGGAAACGTGCGACGAAACGTCAGGTGTTTAGGTGTTACGACTCTCGACTCAAATCACTGAAGGAAAAGAACTCAGCGATGTGTGGGCGGAGCCTCGTACTGTGGGAGTGTGGGGGATGTAGGCCTGTGGGCGGAGCCTCGTACAGACTCGTGCCTCTAACTGTAAAGAGGAAGTGACTCACAGTTTGGAGCTCTGCGATTGGTCAAAGATCCTGAAATGAAACGACCGTTTTCATCGACGCACCAACACACGCCTGAGGAGAGAGGTCAGAGGTCAGACAGGTGCAGACAGGTGCAGACAGGTGCAGACAGGTGCAGACCTGAGCTCCGGTCACACTGTGTGGGGATCCAGTCTCCGTTGGCGTCGCACTGAGGACTGTAGATCTGTAACGTTTGACTCTGCGGCGCCACCAGCTGCTCGTAAACTGAAACAACAAAAAAACAAACAAACAAATAAATAAACAAATAAACAAACAAACAAACAACAACAAGAGTCACTGTGAGAAACTCTGGTCGTCTGAAGAGGATGAGGAAGATGAGGTAAAAGTTTTATTCTACAGAGTCACAGTTTGATGAGTTTCACTTTTGTTTTTGTCGCTCTGAGTCTCACTTCTCTTTGCTCCTCGTGCTAAATCCCTCCCCCTTCACAGCGCCGCACTGATGAACCTCCTGCACGTCAGGTCAGGTTTGTCCAGTCGTGTCCTGGTTTCGTGAGTTTGTGGAGACGACATGAGGGGGCGGAGCCTCGTACAGACTCGTTCTGCAGCCAACTGTGAGGAGGGTTTGAATAGGGCCCAGGAGAGATCACTAGATTACTCAAACATGCATGAGTCTAAAACCTCTTCAGACTTTTCTGTGGAGGGGGAGGAGTCAGAGGGGAGGGGGAGGAGTCAGAACGGAGGGGGAGGAGTCAGAGGGGAGAGGGAGGAGTCAGAGGGAGGGGGAGGAGTCAGAGGGGAGGGGAGGAGTCAGAGGGAGAGGGAGGAGTCAGAGGGGAGGGGAGGAGTCAGAGGGGAGGGGGAGGAGTCAGAGCGGAGGGGGAGGAGTCAGAGGGGAGGAGTCTCACCCGACACAGCGGCCAATCGCAGCGCGGCAGCGTCGTTGTTGTTGCTGAGCAGCTCCAGCAGTGGAGGCTTCAATTGGCCGATCTCGGAGGTGAAGCGGAACCCTTTGGCCAATAGGAAGCCGAGGCCCAGGGGGAAGTGGGAGGAGTTAGAGAGCGCCACCAGTGACATCACATCCTGTTTGAAGGCGGCGAGTTGGGCCACGGCGTCGGAGCACGAACCTGAAGGCGAAGAACACGACGAAGAACGACGCCGACACGTGAGAGGACAAAATCACCAACACACAGCCCCGCCCCCCTGTACGCAGCCCCGCCCCCTGTACGAAGCCCCTCCCTCTCTTGATTTTGTAGACGGTGTCCGTCACTCACCTGAGGTCCGCCTCCGTTCGTCCGTTCGACCTGCACCAACAAACATCAACGTCAGAGAAACAAACGTCAGAGAATCTTTCTGTTCAGTCACGTCCACGTCTCCAGGAGGTTTTTATTCTGAATTTAAATCTTCTCTTGGTGTTTCCGTGGAGATCATCATCATCCTGTTGATCTGGTGAAATGTTTTTTATTTTCACTTTTTAAAGAGGAATTCAGTTTTATTCAGATTTAAAGTTCTCATGGAAACGTGGAATGTATTTATCTAAAATAACTTCACGAAGAAACAAGTGACGACTGGTGTCCAAAGGAGCTGAACAAACCAGGACTAAAGATCTGAGGAGAACTGTTAAAAGTCACTAGAACATGGAGAAACATCTGAAGAGAACAGTTAAAATGGCCAACAAAGATCTGAGAACAGTTTGGAGAAGAGTTTGAGGAACAGTTTGGAGGAACAGTTGGAGAACAGTTTGAGGAACAGTTTGAGGAACAGTTTGGAGGAACAGTTGGAGAACAGTTTGGGAACAGTTGGAGAACAGTTTGAAGAACAGTTTGAGGAACAGTTTGAGGAACAGTTTGAAGAACAGTTTGAGGAACAGTTTGGAGGAACAGTTTGAGGAACAGTTTGAGGAACAGTTGGAGAACAGTTGGAGAACAGTTGGAGAACAGTTTGAAGAACAGTTTGAGAACAGTTTGAGGAACAGTTTGAGGAACAGTTGGAGAACAGTTGGAGAACAGTTGGAGAACAGTTTGAAGAACAGTTTGAGGAACAGTTTGAGGAACAGTTTGAGGAACAGTTTGAGGAACAGTTTGGAGGAACAGTTTGAGGAACAGTTTGAGGAACAGTTGTTTGGAACAGTTTGGAGAACAGTTTGAAAGAAAACAGTTGGAGAACAGTTTGAGGAACAGTTTGGAGGAACAGTTGGAGAACAGTTTGAGGAACAGTTTGGAGAACAGTTTGAGGAACAGTTTGAGGAACAGTTTGGAGGAACAGTTGGAGAACAGTTGGAGAACAGTTTGGAGAACAGTTGGAGAACAGTTTGAGGAACAGTTTGGAGGAACAGTTGGAGAACAGTTTGAAGAACAGTTTGAAGAACAGTTTGAGGAACAGTTGGAGAACAGTTTGAGGAACAGTTTGAAGAACAGTTTGGAGAACAGTTGGAGAACAGTTTGAGGAACAGTTTGGAGAACAGTTTGAGGAACAGTTTGGAGAACAGTTTGAGGAACAGTTTGAGGAACAGTTTGAAGAACAGTTTGGAGAACAGTTTGGAGAACAGTTTGAGGAACAGTTTGGAGAACAGTTTGAGGAACAGTTTGAGGAACAGTTTGGAGGAACAGTTTGGAGAACAGTTTGAGGAACAGTTTGAGGAACAGTTTGAAGAACAGTTTGAGGAACAGTTTGTTTGGAGAACAGTTTGAGGAACAGTTTGAGGAACAGTTTGAAAACAGAGAACAGTTTGGAGAACAGTTGAGAACAGTTTGGAGAACAGTTTGAGGAACAGTTTGAGGAACAGTTTGGAGGAACAGTTTGGAGAACAGTTTGAGGAACAGTTTGGAGGAACAGTTTTGAGGAACAGTTTGGAGGAACAGTTTGAGGAACAGTTTGAGGAACAGTTTGAGGAACAGTTTGAGGAACAGTTTGAGGAACAGTTGGAGAACAGTTGGAGAACAGTTGGAGAACAGTTTGAAGAACAGTTGGAGAACAGTTGGAGAACAGTTTGGAGGAAC